TACATATACACCGTCCCCTGCTGTACATACCGCCGGCCATCCGCACCGCGCGGAAATGAAGATCTAAACATACACACCTGTGCTTTCAGTTACACAGGGTTCATCGCCTGCGTTTGCCATTGTTGGCATCGAGCACCTCCTCCTTGCGCGTTTCCACACGCTGGAGAAACTCGACCTTCTCGAGGTACCCGCCCCCGCGGCGGTTCGCCTCCAGCTCGTCCTTCACCCCTGAGGTGTCCTCGCCCTCGACGTGGGCTCGCCAGTCCATCGCGGACTTGTCGAGCGTGGTGAGCTTCTTTACGGGCTGCTTCTTCGGGATCGCCGCGAGCGTGGTCTTCGGCTTCCGGGGGCCCGGACGCTTCCCTGGCCCTGACGGTTTCGCCGGAGTCGCAGAAGAGGAGGCAGTGGGGGCAGCGCTCTCGCTGGGAGACGCAAGAGGTTGTGCATGAGGCGTGGTAGGCTTGCCGCCGTCATCGGAGGGCTTCCACAGCGGCCATTCTTTCGCTTCGGGCGAGTTTGCGGGTACCTCTTTGATCTCCCTGCGGAAATGAAAGTCAGAACAAGGTCATATGGACGACTGGGTAGTCAACGCACGTAACCTCCTCCCCCGCGAACCTGTATCGCTTCACGATCTTGACCATTTGCGGCGCCGCGGGGGCCGAAGTGGCTTCAGGTAGCGGTGGTGCGCTCAGGGATGCCTTGAATACTGCAAATGCCTCGTCCGCCTGTCTGATCTGGGCAACTCAGGCGGCTGATGAGCATGCACGGGAGAAGGGGCGCACTGCTTCTTGTCCGTGTCCTCCGACGCGTCCGTTCGAGCGCGCTTCGGGGCGGGGACTTCACTGTCTGAGCCGCCATCCGGGCCTGTGCAAAGCGAATCTTGAGCCGCAAGAACAAGCCGCTCTTTATGTGGTCGTCACCTATGTCGTTCGGGGGTACATAGTCCGAGTCGTCGTCCGAGTCCGATGTCATGGCAAAGAGGCGGTGGTGGGGAAAGGCAAGAAACGGGAGCGGAATTGCCGCCGTCTTCGGGGTCGCCCATCAAACTTCCCTGGCCAGTGCTGGCAACTTTTCTTTACATACCTCGACCTCGACCTCGCTCCTCTGTCTCTCTCACACCTGGGTCGTCGTCATGCCCGTAGAGGCCGTCGACAAGCGCCCGTGTGTGGCTGAGAAGCAGGTCCGATGACGTCACGCGTCTGTCGTCTCGCGGTGCGCTCTCTGCTCCCTCTGCTCTCTCTGCTCTCCGACCGCGTCCAAACCGCCTTCGACGCCGCCGCACTAGCGCTCGCACCCTTCCAACCGCGTTTTTGGCGGGCAGCTGGCGTCGTTCCAACGCTCAAAGTCACGTTCTAGCCCGATCTCGCCCCTCCTCACATCCGTTCTGACCGTGCTCGACCGTGCTTTTGGCGGGGAGCTCGTACTCTCGACTGCGTCCCAGCGCCGCCCTTCAGTGCATCCGCTGGCCTTTGCAGCCTGTCCGCCGCTCCTTTCCTCAGTCCCGGCGCCTGTTCCGCTTGCAAATGGCGAGTCCTCTCTGTTGCTCACTCCGCGTGTCCGTCTCTCACGCCGTTCTAGTGCGCGCAGCGATGCCTTTCGACCTGCCTGCCGCACGCCCGCGCTCGCTGGAATACACCCCCCAGCATCCTCCCCCGCAGTGCGGCGACCGCTACCATCACGCATACAGCTCGCCGTCGTACATTCGCGTGTTCAGCGCGGACTCAAACCGGAGCTTTCCTCCGCATCAACGACATCCTTGAAATCGCCCCTCCGCGATTCACTGCCCCGCCCGCATACCTCAACGCCCCTCTCTGGCATTCCGCGAGGACCTTGCTAGGACTCTGACGACGCGTTCTGCCAATGTGCGAACACGCCGCACGCATACTGCGCCCGCCATGCCTCTCCCAAGGCACGAACCCACTGCCGACCTCCGACCGCCTCCCAGCCACCAGCACGTCCCGAAACAGGACGCTGGGCCTCAGGACGTTGCTATCTAGGACTGTGTGTAATTCCAGCCCGCGCCGACGCGAATTGCTCTGACAAGGTCGCGATTACAGCTCCCCCGCGCGCAGAAACGCGTGTCAACCACGCCGCCCGGCCCCGCCTCGCCCCAGCGCTCGCATGCAGCATGCCCGGGAGTATCACGACCGCCCCCTCCGTTGTCGACGCCGTACGACCGCGTCTCCGCCGCGCACGCCGCGCCGCGCCCCGCACGAGCACGCCGACGTTGCACCCCGGCGACGCGTCTCAGGCCTCCGCGGACACGATGACCAGCTCCCGTGGACCAGGGCGCGTATTGCCTGCGCGTCGCGGCGCGATCGAGGGAGATCGATATCGGCTCGTCGCCGATGATTTTCGTGTGCAGCGCCCGTACATTGCGCATCCCATCGCCGTCCCGCCCCGTGTTGCCGCGCCACTGGGCCAGATCACCACTGGGGACGCTGGTAGCGGTCTGTGCTGCGTAGACGCGCTCGCGGAGGCCTTATCCATGGGGACGATCATGCGCACTCCCCCGAGCCCGCCGTGGCGTGTACGTCGACTTTGGACCTCCGTCCACGGCTGCGTCGCAGTGGGCACGTCCTAGGCCGGCGTATGGTCCTGCACGCACGCAAATCACTTTGACCACGTCGTTTTTGTAGACGACCCGCTCAGCGCACGCCAGCCCGGTCGATGAACGATAATCTAAGCCGTCGTGGTCGAGAATAGTCCCTCGTGCTAGCATAAGAGTACGTGTACGTGACCATTCCTACACTAGAGCCTCGCCCTCACGAGTTCACGACCAGACACCTAGGCTACAAAAGTGGCCGTCTCTGCCGCCGGGAACACGTTCCTACCGTCGCAATTTGGCACCTGTTGGACGACGTGAGTACATGAAATACCCGCGACTCCCACTGGTCTGCTCACCTGCCCCACCTGCACCGTGGCTCGTAGCTTGCATGAAGACGACCGCGCCGTGACAACAGCACCACCGCGTCATGGTCAGTAGTGCATATGCAGATCACGATATGACCACTCACCACGGTAACAGAGGTTGCTTCGGCCTCGCCAACGCGGCCAGAAGAGCGGCGGTGCGGTGTGACAGCAACGACGGTAGAGTTGTGCGAAGTACGGGAAAGACGTCGACGGCGGGGTGAAGGAGGAGGGGGAGGGGGGGAGACTTGGTGAATGAGCTCACGGCCATACGTCCACCCTTTTATCCCCTCCCCGCACACGCTTACGCGAGACTGACGCACGGGCCAGGACGGGATGCGATGCATTCCATCCCGCTGTATCCGCCCGGGACGACCGCTGCTCGGCGCGGCGTTGCTGCGGTCTCCAGTACGCCTCTACGCGTGCGCACATCCGGGCACAGAATATAGCCCTGGATGGGCCCGCGCCGCATCCTTCTCAATCTGCGGCCGCGACGACGCCGCATGTCAGGCTCCAGCCGCCAACCCACGCTCGCCGCGCAGGACGTCTCCACGCCGACGTGCGCATCTCGCCATCCCGTCGCGCGGACGTGGCCTCGGACGCGGACACGGGCGTGCGCAGGGACAATACCGCGCGCGGAACACGGCTGGGTTGAAACGCGCGACCGTGTTGACGGCAGGAGGGGCGCGCGTATCACGCCCGTGCTGTGGGTCCAGTTCTGCGGCGTGCGGGCGGGCGAGCCGACGTCGTCTGTATCCACCGCCGCTTGGTGCAGCTTCGAGGAAATGGGCACGGCGGCGATCCGCCATCATTTGTATGTGGAGGGATCCTCGTCAGCGACCACTGGCCATACGCTTGTGAGAGACGCATCCCGCGTGTTTGCCAAACAGCCCCCCGCTCGACTCTGTGTCCACCCCGCTCGACGCCCTCGATCGGACCGAGGCCGCCTCGGGCACTCGTACGACGGGATAGGCGGGATGGAAGGGCCTCTAGCGCGTCCGCTAGTCAAGGCAACCCTGCGCCGGCTCGTCTGCCTGTGCGCCCCCCGGGCCACCCCACATCTGCGCGATTGGCTGGCATTTCGAGGCCGCTGTTGCCGCACGAGTGAGGCGGAGGTGGAGGTGGATACGAGCTGCGTGCTGATCGGACGATGCCCGGCAATAGCACCAGCGGCGGACGTTCGCGGACGGAAATTTCGGGTGAAGCACGAACCTGGGATGCGCCGTAATGTCCGCTTCGAGTGCGCGCAGATCTGCCTCGAAAGATGGGTCGCGACGGGCTGCGATACTCCGGGGTCGCCCCTGGCCGTGGTGAGTACACCTCTGCCCCCTCGAAACGATCTCGAGAGCGGCTGATTGTGTGGGGGACCCGCGTGGATCGCCTATGCAACGTCGTGTTGACGATTGCGTCTGCGTACGAATTCTGGCTCGACCGTCGGTGCCGCCGCACAAGCCGAATTTGGGGCCGGCTTCTATGCATGTCCGAGCCTTTGCGCCGGGTTCCTGCTTGCACGTACGCTTCCGAGGGCACACTCGACGAGCGGCGAGTCCAACTCGGATTTTCCGTCATACGACAGGATGTACCTCTGTTGTGCTACGTAGCTAATGTATGAAGACGGCAGGATTTACGCACCATCGACATCGCAGTCGAGGACTTGCTCAGTGTCGCGGCGGACAAGACTCGTGCGCCGGGCCTGCCCCGACGTTAACGTGCACACGATGCAGCGCTGAGAGAGCCGTGTACGGCGGACTCGAAGCACGTACACTTGTGCGCATGCAGGACATTGCTTGGACCGCGACCATGTCTCCGATGCGATGCTCATCCCGTCCGTGGCATCCGCGAGTGTGTCTGAGGTGAGTGCCGCCTTGTCTCGCTCTCCTACGCTCCTAGCTCACGATGAACGTGTTTGACAGAGTGAATGCCTCGCGCGCGTCGCGCAGGGCTGCCATGCTCGGCGAAGCCGCGGGTGCGACCAATCAACTCGTCTATCCCCGCCACGAAGCACGGTGTCCAGCCGGGGTAACACCACTACGCCTGCACGGCATTTGCGGCGCTCACCGCGCCATATTCCTACTTTGTTCACCATCGCTTATAGCTACTGCGCGGTGTATCCGAGTCTTGACTATTCTCTCATGCATGTAGATTACCAGCGCCCCCGGTATGCCAAATTTCGAAATGCACCTGCGCCCACAACCGAGGGGACCCCGTGCAGAACGAAGGGTGCGTCTATATGTCATATACGCCATACGCTGCACTCTGCAGTGCGGCCGTCCGTGTCGATACCGGGTCGCTTTCAGGTTGCTCCAGAAGCTGCTTCAGTGCAGACCGTCCAAATGCCCTGCATGCCATGGCACATCGCTCACGTTGCCCGGGGTGCATAGGGCATTTCTCGATTAGTTCCACACACCGCTAACTCCTGACATAGTACGCCAGACGCAGAATGCGAGTCGCCATTGTGGCTCGCGGTTCTCGTTCGGGTGCTTCCAAATATATTCAATTTCAGCTATTTCGCAGCAAGATGTCCGCGAACACGTCCCCAGATGCGTAATTACTACTCTCCCACTCTCGCCAGGGCCCGCGGCGACGGCTTCTGCGCTCGCGTCCGGTGCGTACCCAAGTTATGTGCACATTGACGTCGCTGACACCGCTATACTCAGATGACATGGGCACAAAAATGCGAAAAACCTCTACCACGGCGCTCGCCTCTATCTGAGCACACGCCCGTCACCTCGCGTGGGTACTCTCAGCCCTTTGGGACGACGCCGACGCTGTATGAAGACGTCGACCACGCGGGGGCTGCACGGTGCCCGTGCCCAGGCCGACATCCATGTCGACGATCTCGCGCTCCAACGACGCTCTCTGGGACGTTCAAACCACGACGATACGATTCCGTGAACCAGGGGGCACGCCCCCTGCGCGTTTCGTCGCAATCCGAGGAGGTTTAGTTTCGTCAATTTCGACTGATTTCATGTGCAAGTTCAGGAAAAAGACAGAAGATCTTGTGTTCCGCCACGCTCCCGTCCCGTAGCGCCTCAAGATTTGGCAGGTACATTCAATGGCATCCTCGGCACTGTCCTACGGTGCGTTTGAGCGCGCCCGGGCACTTTGAATTTAGTCATCTCGCAACAGGACCGTATTTCTGGCGCGTAGCCATCAAGCACCGGACGCGGTGGCGGCAACCGGCGACAATGTTGACGAAGTTGTCGATGCATCGAATGCGACGCAAGCATGCGCAGCAATGCTACGGGCTCCGCAACAGATGCATAATACGGTACGCGCAGCGGTCACGTCGTTTCATTCGTGCCAAGGGCTTACGTTCGCCCAGCTTCGCAGACCGCGTACACGGCGCCAGCACTCGTCGGAGAAACCCGCATACCGCCTCGACAACGATCCCGCAACGTCTTCTGTGCACACGGCAGGCCCGTGTGCTCTCAAATGGTACCGTCGGGGGAGGGTGCTCAGGTGATTTCACCCTCAGTGATTAAATGGCGCTGCCGACGGACTCGCCTGGATTCGGACAACGGTGTAATGTAAAGCATGTTTGAATAACACATATTTGTGCTCGCAAATGTGTTCAGACACCTTCCTCGAGGTGTTTAGATGCACCCACGGCTGCGTCTTGCCCTCGGCACAATAGGCGACGTGCTCTTGGGATGGAACACGAAGGCACACAGCCTGCTCTTCTACTTCGCGCCGGCAACCTGCTGGTCTCTTGCACGTCGAGAGGTGCTAACATAGACCCTCGCCGCGACCACAATTTCCGCGCTCGCACTCACGTAGGACCTAGGCACGTCGACCAGAGATGCACTGTTGGAGCGCGAGATCCGGGGTCCGAAAGCATGTATTTCCGACGTGAAACAGTGGGTAGGGAACCACACAGTGGGCGGCCCCGGCGTCGCGTCCACGTTCGTGCCCATGGCAGGCCGGAGCAAGCATTCGCACCCGATGCACCGGCCCCCGGCGAAGAAAACGAGCGCTGTGAGCTCCCAAACACCGACAATGCGACGCGCCTCCGCGCAGGCGCGGACGCGCCGAAGCTACGGACGGGGCGCAGGGAGATTAGTGTCGCGAGCGCAGTGTGCTGTGCCATAGACGTGTGATTTGATTCGCACGATCACCCGACATTCGCTCATTGCACACATGAGATGGGCGGGTGCGGGCATGCACGCCGAATGCCTATCCCCAGAGGGCGGCTTGTAACTCGTAAGATGGTGCGGATAGTGCGGAGGCCGGACACTGGATACGTGCGGGGCACACTTGTCGCCATGATGATGATCGGGACATGGGACACAAGATGGCGGCGGAGACTCGAATGAGGGTGCTCCGGAGGGAGACCCATGGAGACAGCAGAGCCTGTGGCTTTCGAAACAGGGCAGCACGGACGAGGCCTGTGATGTAGCACTGGCAACGAACAAGTGCGGCACGTAGCGAGATCGCCGACAGGACGTGAGAGTAAAGGTATTCTGTGGCAAAGAGGATTAACTTGGAGCAAACATATTCCGAATTTGACGCACCGGACGGGGCGCTCGCCGCTCACTTTCGCTTGCGGTGACCCTGCCGCCGTGTCGCATCCGCAACGGCTCCGTCTGCATGGAACCGCAATTGCATCCTGTGGTGCGCGAGCGACTTGATGAAGAGCAGATGCAAGCGTCTTCGCAATTTCTCGAATGTGCTCGCCGCTCTCTGCTCGCGCGCTCCTTTCGTTCTTTACTCCCGCCTTCTCTGTTCGACGAGTTCTGCCCGGCTCATACGCCCCTTCTGCGTGGTCTGTGGGCTGTGGGTCTCGGTAGGTAAGTAGACGCCACCATCTGGTAGTTCAGACTTCACTCACACTCGCGCTTGCAGGTCTCCTGCATCGTTCGGCCCGCGATCGCCTCTTGCCTGCGGCTGCTCTCTGATCTTGTCCCATCTAAGTAGTACGGTGAGCGACCTGTTATTGTCAGTGTCTTGCAGTCGTCTATAGTGCTCACCTCAACTCTTGCCTACCGGGAAGGCAGCATGACTCGCCAGCGCCCCGCAAAGTCCACTTTCCACACGCTGGGGGACACCGCCCGCGGTGCATACGCACGCAAGGAGATGCAGCTGCGGAGCGAGGTGCGAAAAGGGCTGAAGCAGAAATTAGGTAAGTGACTCGCCGGATACGGAGGCGTAGGTAGCTTGTACTCACGTATGTATGAGTGAGACGTGTCGGCGACGTGGACCCCAAGGTGTCGATGCATTGGACCGTGAGCGGCCTCTGCAACAACATCTACCTTCGCCACCGCCTCAAACTGGTCGGGTGGCCGAAGGGGATTGTTTTCGGTGACTTGAGCAAGACGGTGACCGGGCTGGACCGGATCTCGATACTTGTTGAGGCGCTACGGAGCGGGGACCTCACGTTCGAGCCTATCTCGCAGGCCGAGTACGATGCCGCTAAGCAGAACCCGCTGCTCGCGGCGCCCACTCACCTGAACTGTGGCCTGAGGCCGCACCCGAGCCGCGACGACATTGGGAGGCGGCGAGGGAGCAGCAAGGTCGACCCGGCAATCTACCCGCCTCGACATGTGCGAGATGGGCCGAGGTCGTCGAAGGTGGTGTCGGACGAAGCAGAGGCGAGGGCAGAAGGGCCGGAGGAGCCTCACGAGTTGTTCAAGGGCGGGCAGCTGTACGCGGGGCCGCGTCCTGGCCGGTTGCAGATCTTGAACTGACGGCGATGGGGTGTTCACACAGACCAGCAAATGTTCTACTATACATTAGACAGTTGTAATACGACGTCCCAGAGCGTACAAGAGGCGGCGCGTCGAGAGAGGGACTCCGCGGTCGCAAGAGATGGTGGTGGACATGAAGGAAGACGCGCGCGTGCGCATTCCTAATCGGGATGAGATCTGCGCGGCGGTGCACTCACATCTGGCGTCTATTCTGCCTCTCTTCTCCCGCACATCATGCGAGGTCGTGCATTGCTCGTTCGAGCCCTTTCCGGCATCGCCGGCCTTCTGTTCACGATATCGGCTGTTAAAGCAGTAGACTCACAGTCCGAAAAAGATGATGGCGGGTGCTGGACTACACAGCAGTGCCAATGGCGACTGAGTGAGCTCTAGACCGCCGGGAGGAACTGAATTGGCTGCGCGCGTCGCGTATTTGCATGCAACGGCTGCGGAAAGAATTGGTGCGGTGTACAAGATGTTCTGATGGATATGCAGACGTCCTGTCCAGCCCCATTTGTGCTGGGTCGGGTGAATATCTTGAGGAGCAGTGTACCTGCTCCTGAAGGTGTTTACCCACCTTGCTCACAATGTGGCTGAAAGCAGAAGCTTTTGTGGCTGAAGCGACTTGAGTAAAAGCCCAGTGATAAACTAAGATTAGAGCAATGTAAGGCCACAGTGTCAAGCAAGAGTGCCATTCAAGCGAGCGGGTGATATTCCAGTACAAACGAACATCAGAAATTACTTGCCAGGCTGATCAGATGCGCTTAGCTGGAGATCACACATCCCTCTCAGACGTGAACTGACTTAGGTACAGGCGGGTCGCTCGTGTGGCCTCCCACGCTCCTGTCTCCCTCTCCCACCCCATCTCCTCCTCCTATCCTGTCTCTCCCCAGCTGGCGCCCTCTGATATCTACTGCAGATGGTGAGCAGCAGGCATCTCTACCACTGTGAGATCAGCACACTTACCAGTTCAGACAGCAAGATCATTAGCTCTGGGGGCTGAGGGGATAGTGCGAGCAGATTCGGACATATTCGAAGGTATGTTGATTTTACCAGTGGGTGTAATGGCATACTCACAGGACGCAGGACACTCTGACATGGTACCACCGACACACCATTTTTGCATGCTCACGTCGTGCGGATAATCCCGCCCGCACGAGGGATGCGCATGGCCACACCTCATCACGGAGCCCCCTGCCGCTCACCGACGGTCGCGCGCATCCCGCCACAACGCTCGTACGCGCCCTCCCTTCGCACGACGGGCGAGCCGTGAACGGTTCGGCGTCTCGTTCCCGCAGCTCACGCGGCGTCCGGCGCATCGGCCGCGCGAAGATCCCACGCCCACCGCGAGGAGGAGCTGGGTGGAAGAGGCTGGCGACGGGGCGTCGGTTGCTGCTCGCGCCCGGGCGCGGTCCGTGGGCGCCTTCGGACGCGGGGCCGCGGAGACAACACCGTACCACTGCGGCTGTGCAGGAGCGAAAGGTCGGGCGAGGTACGCGGGGGCGCGGGTCGATCGTGGATCTCGCGCCGCTGCTGCGACGCATCGACGGGGACAGTACGCGATGCGGGTGTATTCTCGAGAGGGCGCGAACGGCAAGGTGGTCATCGTGGTGCGCGAGGGGCGGGGCGCATATAGTCGATGTGCGCCAGCGGGGACAGAGACGTACCGCGAGGGGGTGGCAGCAAGGCGGAGGGAGTCGAGGTTCGCAACGGTGAGACTGGCCACTTACCTGTCCTCGGAGACGTGGCGGGCCGGATCTGCAGGGAGGTCGTGAGGAGGGGCGAGGCGGGAAACGTGAGAGACGGTGCGCACTCTTCCTATAGATTCTCGACTCAATGCCAGACTGAGCGCGCGCGGCCAGCTAGCCTGGAAGCCAGGATGGCGGAAACTGACCGGGAGAGGGCGGCGGGCCGGAGTACGGGAGGGGGGGAGGGAGAGACTCAGAGAGATCGCGAAAGGCTGTCGAGAGTCGAGAGTCGAGAGACGGATCGCCGCTCTCTCGATGTCAGGGCCAGCGCCTAATCCAGCCGCGGCTACGGTCCCAAACGCGCCTTCGGACGTGCGCGCAGCACGTACGAGCGTGTATTAGTGTCTGAGGGCGAGGTAAGTACTGCACCTGCTCTTGATTTCCACGGCCGAAGGCTGATTTCGCGAAGAGGCAGAGTTCGCGCGCGCGCAAGTATGAGCCGCAAGCAAAGGAGGGCGCGAAGTCGAGTACAGCAGACAGACAGACGAGTCGCGGGGGTGCATGTCGTATGTAATGTACAGTAGCACGTCGTGGTCGAACGCAGAGGGTCCCGCGCCCGCGCTCGCGAGCTGTGTGCCCGCAGACCCTAGACGCCCGCCCGCGCGCCCGCGTTCTCCAAGTACGCACTCTGCGCGCGGCCTCCTGTGCAGCGTACGACTTCACCGCACTGTGCAATATATCCCTACTCCACCGCACTGTGCAATATATCCCCCACTCCACTCCCTTACCAAGCAGTTCTCTCCGGTACTCCCATGTCCGCGAGCAAGGCGATTCCAGCGTCTACCGTACACGCATGTCTACCTCATCGCGAGCGGGAGCACGATCTTCTCGCCACAGTCCACAGTGCCGGGGTCGCCTCTCGCGCGCACAAGCACAACCCCAACCACCCCGAACTCGCCCGCCCGGTCGGCGCTATCCTCGTCCCTCCCGAGCTCCCCCGGGTTCGCGCGCTCCTCCACGAACCTGCACGGCAGCTCGAACAGCATCGGCTCGCTCGCGCTCCCCGTGACGCTGCCCGCGATGGCCCCCGCCGTGACGCCCCCGCAGCCGTACCGCGACCCGCGCCCGGCGGTCAGCGCGTACTTCACGATCGCGTGTGCGAGCGCGACTGGGGCGAGTCTGACGCGCTTCACGAGCGCGCCGGATGTGTTCTCGGTGAGCCAGAGCTGGGGGTGGAAGTCGAGCTCGCTGCGCGCGGAGGAGTATCTGGAGGTCGATGCGGAGGGCCTGCCTGCGGCGGTGGTGCTGCCTGCGAGGAGGGAGGTCAGTTTGCGGGCGACGGTGGTGCTGGGCGTTGTGTGAGGGGCTTGTATGCGCGTTGTGTCTGTTGTCGAGTTTGCACGAGTACTGTCACTAATCGGTTTGTTGTATATTTTGTCTTGTTTCCTCTTGTATCACGACCCTGACACG